TTGTTTAAAAGAAAGGGTTGGGGTCTTTTTTATTATTGGGTTAGAGGCAGGGTTTTTATTTTAAATAATATGAATGTAGATATTATTGTTATATATTTCTAAATATTGAGATATACAATCAAGATCTAAATATATATATAAACACAAAATATAAGTAAATAGAAATAATAGGAAGAGATGTAATGGAGAATACAAATAAGAGTATACATTAGTATACATTTTAAATGTAAATGTGAATATGAACCTGAAAAATAGAGTTTTAAAAAATATTTAAATACAGTTGAGAAGACTGGGGTTCTTTTTGGCTTTAATGTGGGTAGAGGCAGGGGTTTTATTTTAAATAATGTAAGTGTTGCAGATGTAAAAATCCTAACACAGAAAGATATAATAAATATATAAAGATATGAATAAAAGTATATAAAAATATAAGTAATAGGAACACATGTAACATAGAATGTAAATTTATAGCTAAATCGCTAAATATAAATGCAAAATCGATCATACATCAGTAAACATTTTAAATATAAATTTGAGAAATAATTTTTTTAAAATTTTAAATACAGTTGAAATGAAAGGGGGTTTTATTTGCCATGTTATGGGGTAGAGGCAGGGGTTTTGAGTACTGTAAGTGTTACAGAAGTAAAAATCCTAACAGAAATATATACTTACTATGTAAAAATATGTATAAAAATATACAAATAAATTGAAGTTTTAGGGATATATGCAATATGGAATAGAAATGTATTCATAAAAACAAATGTATAAATGGACAGTATACATCAATATACATTATTGATAGAAATGTGAATATTAATATGAAAAAAACCTTTTTTTAAATATTTAATTTTTTTTTTAAGAAATTGTTGGGGTTTTGTTTTGTTTTTTTTTAATCCTATTAGATTAGAGGCAGAAGTTTCTTTTTCCTCTTCCCCGTTGTTTTGGGGCATTTATTTCAGAGCAGTTTTCGGCGGGGGCCGCCCTTGTTCTTTTTCGCCGCCTTCCCTGCCCGCAGCCCCGAGGCGCGCTGCGCCCCCGGCTGGGGCGTGCGGCAGTGCTGCCGCCTTGTGGGCAGAGCGCGGTACTGCAGCCCTGCACCGAGAGGCCGCCACCTTGGGAGTGGCGCGTCGCGGATGTCGCGGACTTTTAATTGACCTTCTCAGCATGGCGGCGAAAAGGGCGGGGAAGTGGAGGACCGGGGTGGGTGTAACTGGACTGCCTGCATGGAATACCGACGTCATGGCGGCCCCGACGGATTTTTCTGTGGCATTTCAAGTGTACCCGATACGGGCTGCGGGCTCAGCGGCGCCGCGGGCGGGCGTATTTTGGCGGGTTTGTGCCAGGCATCTGGGTTAAACGCCTCGCTGTGCCGGGGTCCTCTGACGGCCGCTTTCGCGCCCTGAGGGAGCCGAGCCGGGCCGAATTGTTCCGAAGAGCCGAAGAGCCGAGGGTGGCCGCAAACAGCCGAGTTGACCCGAAGAGCCGACGTGGCCGAAAACAGCCGACTTGAACCGAAGAGCCCAGTGCGGCCCAAAATACACGAGTGTGGCCGAAAACAGCCGAGTTTACACCAAGAGCCGATGATAGCCGACTGGAACCGATAGCCGAGTGTAGCCGACACTGGCCGCATTTAGACCAATGTGCCGAATATGACCGAGTTTAGCCGAACCGTGCCGAGTTCGGCCGAAGAGCCGAACTGAAACGACTTTAGACCAAGAGCCGAACCAAGCCGAATTCAGCCGAGTTTCATTAAACAGAACCGAACAACGCCGCAGCGCTCTGCCTGCAGTGCGCCTGTGCAGACGGCAGGGATCGCTGTGCCTGCAGTGCGCCGGGGCAGACGGCAGGGATCGCTGTGCCTGCAGTGCTCCGGGGCAGACGGCAGGAGGCGCTGTGCCTGCAGTGCGCCCTTGCAGACGGCAGGGATCGCTGTGCCTGCAGTGCTCCGGGGCAGACGGCAGGGGGCGCTGTATAAAGTAAGTAGAAAATATCAACTCTCTATAAGAAGGAATAAAAGCTCTATGTCACGTGCAGCAGTAGAAAATTTCAGGCTCCCAGGGAATAAATAGTTTTCTTTAATTCATTTTCGTTTTGGAGTTTTTTTTACTCCCAGGTAGCCTGAAAGCTACTACTGCTGCTTTTTTATTGTTAAGCTAGAAAGGAAAACCAAGATTAGACATACAGGGAAAGAAAGAAAGAAAAGAAAAAAAAGAAAATAAGGAAAGGAACTGAAAGGAAGAAAGAAAGGACAGGAAGGCAGGATGGAAGGAAGGCAGGCAGGCAAAAAAAAAAAACAACCAAAGAGGGCAAGGAGAAACCCAGGGGAAAAAAAATTTAAAAACAACAGAAAAAAACCTGGAGTTGGGCAAGAAAAATTCAGAAACAAAACCCAGGATGGGCGAGAAAAATCCCAGGAAAAAAAAAAAAACCAGAAAAAAAAAGCCCAAGAAGGGCAAGGAAAAAAAAAAAAAAACCCAGAAAAAAACCATGATGGACAAGAAAAAGCCCAGGAAAAAAAAAAAAAACCAAAAAAAACCAAAAAAACCAACCAAAAAAAAAAACCACAAGATGGGCAAGAAAAATCCCTGAAAATAGACCAGACAAAAACCCTTAGATGGGTAGAAATAAAATAAGAAGAAGGAAAAAAAAAAAAAAGAAAAAAAGAAAAGGAAAAAAAAAATGGGGAAGGAAAAAACGCCAAGATGGGCAAGAAAAAAAACAGGAAAAAAAAAAAACCAAGATGGGCAAGAAGAAACAACGAAAAAACCCAAGAAATGCCAGAAAAAAATCAAGGAAAGGGGGAGTAAAAGCCCCAAGAAACAAGGCAAGAAAGAGAGGCAATAAAGGCCACAAAAAATGCAAGAAAAAAACCCAAGAAATGCCAGAAAAAGGTACGAAAATGGTTCTGCCAGGTGCGATCAAGGTGAGCGGGTTCAGTTTCAGGTCCAGGAGATGAACAAGTGTCAGATTCGCTTGGGGCACTGCTGTGCAATGCAGCTGTGACAGGATTTATGTTTAAATATAGTTTAAGTAAATTGGGGATTGTTTGGGTTTTATTGGGGTATAGGCTGGAGATTTCATAAAAAGTATAAAAATAGAAATCCAATTCTATCCTATATATGTTGATATCCATAAACATTTAATATATGTAAATATAAGTAAAAGAAATATATTGTGTCAAAAGAATATATCTATTATTATATAAAAAGGTATTCTATCCAATCTAACATCTATAAATATAATACATGAAAAATTACAAATGTAAATGTGAATAGAATTATGACAAACAAAATTATTTTTAAAATTTTAAATGTGGTTTAAATAAAGGGGTGTCTGGTTTTTCTTTCGTTAGAGGCAGGCATTTTATTTTAAAAAATATAAGTACTATAGAAATGTAAATCGGCATACAGAAATATAACAAATATATAAGGATGTAATACTAAACTACAAATTTAAAAAGAAATAGGAATAGAAATCTATGTAAGTAACATGAAGAGATGTAATATACAATATAATTAATATTATACAGTAATATAAATTCTAAATATAAATGCAAATATAAATAGGAAAAATATATGATGGGGGCTCGGAGCAGCCCAGGTGTGAGTGTGAGGATGATGGGGGCTCGGAGCAGCCCAGGTGTGAGTGTGAGGATGGTGGGGGCTCGGAGCAGCCCAGGTGTGAGTGTGAGGATGATGAGGGCCCGCTCCTGCCGGGGCGAGGCTGTTTTAGGGGGAGGCTTTGCCTCAGCTCCCTTTAGCGTGGAGCTGCTGAGTGGAGGGGTTTGTGGGGCGCTCCCGGCGCTGTCTCATGGAAGGACTGCGGGAGCTTCTCACAGGGTCGGGGGGAACGCCTGGATACGTGGAGCATCGCTTAAAGGAGGCGCCGAGGGACGAATCTTGGTGCCGGGGAGCAGCGGCCGAACAGGTGAGCCCGTGTGGGTTTGGAGCGGGGAATTTTCTCCTTCCCCTTTGCAATTTCATCTCGCCAGTCCCTCCCCGGATCCCCAGGAACAAAAATGGAGCTTATGAGCACAAAAGGGATTAAGGAGAAGGAAGCAGCTACTCTTCTTTTATTGTCTGCGTTTGAGCTGAGAGGATCCCTCTTCACTTGGGGTTTTAAGGGTGATGATTGCAGGAAAAGCTGCCTTTTCCAGGCTGTTAGGGGTATCCCGGGGGTGACAGGGAATCCCTGCGTTCTATTTTAAGGGGAATGGGAAAAGTATTCCTGTGGTGTTATGGGTTTGATTTGAAGGCAGCCACCCCATTTTCATCACCCTCGGGTTTAAATGGAGGGGGCAGCCCTGGTGTCCCTCCTTTTCAAGGGTTGGAATGGAGGTCGAAATCGCCCTTTCCCATCAGTCGAAGGCTTTCATTTGAGGAGCGCCCCTTCTTTTCTGGTCTCGTAGGGGACGAAACTGAAGGGGAGAAGGCATTTCTTTGCCCTTGTTGAAGTGAGGTGAGCCCCGCCGGCGGCGTCAGTTTCGGGGTTCGGCTGCGGGAAGCCGCAGCTCTGGCAGCGTTTGCAGGGCTGCAATGGGGCTGTGCCGCTGCATCGGAGGGCGCTGCTCGTGCCCGCGGCCCGGCCCGGAACGTTCCCGTTCGGGAGCGCCGCTGGCACGGCCCGGGCAGCTGCCGGGGCGCACGGGGGATTTGGCGCGGCCGGGCCGGCCGAGGGCGGCAGTGGCGGAGCCGCGCCGGTGCGAGCCGTGCGGAGCCGAGGGGAGCCGTGCCGGGCCGGCCGAGGGCGGCAGAGGCGGCGCGGGCGCTGCTGCGCCGGCCCGGGCGGTGCCGGCCGCTCCGTCCGCTCCGGGCGCGGGCTCAGGCGCCGCCGGTAGCCCCGGGCCCGGTGCCGGCCCCGGCGGGCAGGGGCAGCGGGCGGGGCTCCCCGGAACGGCGCCGGCGCCGCGCGCCGGAGGCGCCGCCGGAGGAGCCGCTTTCCTGCCGGGAGCCGCGCTCCGTCCGGGGCCCGCAGCGAGCGCGGCGTTCGGCCGCTCAAAGTTCGGCGGTGCCGTGGTTCGGAGGCGCTTTGAGGCATTGATTGCATCGTTGTGTTCGGTTTGCAGCGGGTGTACGCTAAGGGATACGGTGTTCTTCCTGAGTGGTACGGTTCTCGGTGCCGGTAGGGATGATAAAGGTTTGGTTTGGATTCAGTTTTGTAGTCGGATTTTTTTTTTTTTTTTTTTTTTTTTTTTTTTTTTTTTTTGCCGGGGTATTGTGTTTTGAAAGGCGCGCAATGGTTTTTACGGGTCGTAGCGTGAAGCAGCGGCTCGGATTTTAATTCTGTTGCGGCGGCTTTTATTAGCGTGAGTGTGTAGTGTTTGTTTTGTGGGGCTTGAGGTAGCGTCGTGTCGTTCATAGCGGCGGGTTTTTAATTTCGATAATTGCATGTGTGTTTATCGTCTTCCAGGGCTTTTATTTATTTGGTTTGTTTGATTGTAGTGTATGTTTTATGGTTACGGGTAATTTGGGAGACATTGTTTATGGTTACGTTTGTCTTTAGGCTTTGTGTTTGTTTCGAGGCGGTATTTTTATTTTGATAGCTTGAGGCACTATGGGTTTATTCAGTTGGGAATAATTTTTTTGTTGTAAATTTAAGTTTATTTGGTTTTGGGGCTTTTTTTTTTTTTGTGTCCTTTGATGTATTTGGTTGTTGTTTGTCAGTTTTATTTTTGGGAATATGGGTATTTACATGGTGGATCTTTTTAAGTATTTATTTGCGTAGTTATTTTCTTAGTTTTTAGGGGTTGAGATTTTTTTTTTTCCCATTTCGTTAATTAGCTCGGTTTTTAAAGTTATTTTTACACAGGATTGGTTCTTCTTTGAGTTAGTGTAGAGGTAGAATTTTTATTTTTTCAGTAACGTTCAGGATCAGTGGCACTGTTTGGAGTTTATTAGGCTGGTTTCATCTTTTTCAGTAGTTTTTGCAATTTGCTGTATGTGTTTCTATAGGGTTTCCTTTTATTTTGGTTCCATTTTTCTGACGTGATGAGAACTGTTATCGAAAAGAGTGTTGTGTGGCTTTTTCGCTGGCAGTTCTTTGGCTGTTGGAGGTATCTTGATGGTTTTGGAAGGTATTGGTGGGAATTCAATGCTGTTTGTTTTGTCATTTTATTTAGGAATCGCATTTTAAATATACAGTTATAACTGTAACTATATTTAAACAAAACAGATGTGTGGAAGTGGGAATAAACCACTTTTGTTTTTATATATTCGATCTCTTTTCAAAATGTAACATGTAACATAAGTCATTATCTGTTACAATAAGATATTCTGTTTCTTAATAGAGTATTGTGTATGTTGATAGATATATAAATAGAGAATATAAATATAGACACAAGCAAAACTGAAATATAAAAATAGGAATGTGTTGCAAATATATGCATACCCATCAGGGGTATATTAACACAGCCTGGGCTGAGGGGCTTCATTCCTTCTCTGGGATGTGCTGGGGTGAGAGCTCCCCTCTCAATTCAGTGAAGAGGCTCTTTCAGCTTATTTCAGCTGGTTTTCAGCAGGTGTTTCTGGGCATCTAAAGCAACAGAGGCTTTGAAGAGACCGTGAAGAAAACAGCATGGAATACAGGGAGTATTGAAGTTGATGAATTTGCCTTTTGTGTTCAGGGGTGGTAAAGCACCTTTGTAAATTCTGGTTTTGTTCTTGTTTTAGTCCATTCATTGTAGGAGGAGTGCAGCTTCCAGAGGTTCCCGGTTGTGTCAATTACAACACTCTTTTCAGCAGATTCATCATGTCACAAGAGGCATGTGCCCAGTGTGAGGGATGATGTTTGAGATTGAGGCTTCAGGTGAGTTGAGGATTGTGACTGGGAGAGGGAGGGTGAGCAGGTATCCAGTTAGGAGTTATTGTGGGCAGGGGGAGGTTTGCAGGCAGCAGGGTGAGAGAGGGCGTTTATTGAGGGCCCCCCTACACAAGGCTTCTCAGAAGCCTAGCAGAGGTTTTCACATGTCTTACAGCACACAAGGTCATCCACTGCACTCACAGGAATGCCATTTAACTTTGCCTTTCCCTAACCCAGGTGCCACTCCTAATAAAGGCCACAGCCTTGGAATCAGGATGAAGCTGGAGCCTGCAGGAGCCCGGCACACTCAGGAGAGGGCAAGTAGCCGCCTTGGTGGGATTTGTCCCACATAACTCCGGACTCATACTTTGGTTTTGGTTTTCTTCATTGTAGCTGACCGAGAGGCTGACAGGCCATCACGAGGCCCTCCGAGGCAGACTCATTTCAGGTGCAACGTGGATTCCCATCACTGATCATGCAAAAGATAAGTCAGGGGCCACGGCCTGGAGATGGGATGATGGGAGAGTAGTGGGTTGGGAGTTCTTGGGGCAGATTTAAAGATTAGCAGAGGGAAAAGCAATCTTCTCCAAGGGCCTCTTAGGATGGCTAAAGGGAGAGGCTCTACTTTTGATGGCAGCTTTCAGGTGGGCAGTGCGGAACAGCTCTGGTCTGTGTCTTGTTGTCCGGTGTGCTGTGTTCCCTGGTGTGTCTTTGGGGTCCCTTTTGCCTTCTCCCCTCGAGGCCCTCACCACAAGCATGATGTGTCGTGTTTCGTGTCCCCCTGTTTGTCACGTTCTGTGTCACGGGTGTCTGCACTTTTTTGTGCCAGAGCTGTTTTGCCCTGCTGCAATAGGCCTGCTGCAATGGGACAGGCCTGGGGAGTTGAAATTTGTAATGTGGGGTGTACATGGGCTCTAGATGCTATTCCTAGATTGACATAAGGTGTTTGCAGCTTGTGAGTTATCCTGGTGGTGTTTGATGTACTTTGTAACTTTCTTTCAGGTGCAGATGCATTCCATGTGTGGCAGAGGGTCAGGGTTAGGAGGTGCTGGGCCTTCCTAGGAGCGCGGTGAGTAGCAGAGTGGTGGGGTTTTGGCTGATGTGGTGCCAAGACCAGACACTGATGTTTGGTTTTCTTTAATACAGCTGTCTGGGAGACACCAGCCCGGTGCCAGCAGGACTTTCCTAGGTGCCGATGTGGCCTTTCTTTGCACCTGAGACCAGCATCCCCTGATGTCTGAGAGATAAGTGGAGGGCTACGGCCCACAGAGGGGATGGAAGCAGGGTGCTGGGTCAGGACTCCCTGGGGTGGGTGGGGGGTTTGAGTTGGCTCTGGAGACGAGGGTAGCCAAGACGTGGCACCTTAGGCCCCATAAAAGCCAAGTCTCGCTTTTGATCACTTTGCTGAGGGGTGCAGCAGGGCAGAGCAGTCCCGGTATGTATCGTGTCACTTGTCTGTTGTGCATTATGTGTTGTTTGTGTATCTCATGTCTTTTACCTTAGCCCTTTGAGGGACCTGTCAGAAACCCTGGCATCATTCTTAGCATCTGTGATCTCTGCATTCCTTGGCCTGGCACCCAGGCCATAGATGTGTTCCTGATACCTGTCTGAGCTCCCCAGTCAAAAGTTCTCTCTTTGGAAGCATCCAGTCCTATATCTTGTCAGGTCTTGTTCTGAGCTGTATGAACAGCTCTGACCCACCTGGATCCATTATGGTGGATTAGGACTTGAAAGAATGTGAGGGCAGGGAGAGGATTCTGACTGTAGGATTCCTAGGCATCCATCTTTGCTGTTCTTGGAATCAATCATTCAGTTAGCATCTTCTTTCTCCAGGGTTCTTTGAGCCTCATCAGCTCACCATCGGTCTCAGCTTGGTCATCTCCTTTTGCATTCTCTCAGTCCTTGCAGCCATTTTCCTTGCCAAGAGGTTTGCGTCTGTGTTGTGTCCTCATTGTCTGTCACGTCCTGTCCTGTGTCACGGGTGTCTGCACACATTTGTGCTGGTGCTGCTCTGCCCTGCTGCCATAGCCTGGTGCAATAGGAGAAGCCCCGGGGATTTGGAATTTGGCATGTGAGATGTAGTTGGACTCTAGATGGGATTTGTAGATGGACACAGGATGTCTGGAGCTCTTAGCTTATCCTGCAACAGTGTGACTCTTGTCCTAACTTTTTTCAGATTCAGATGGATTAAATCTGTGCCTGAGGGCCCCATCCTTGGTGAGGGGATTGCCCTGAGCAGGTGAGGCCCCATTTGTGTCTGCAGCAGAAGTGTATATGGTGACTCTGTTACAGCACTGTTCTTTGTCTTTCTTTTTAGGAAATAAATCTGGATACCAGCAGTCAAGGTGAGCAGTGGAGAGAAGTAGTTCTTATTACTCAGCTCTCAAGAAAAAAATTGTTCAGCAGATTGATCATGTCACAAGAGGCATGTGCCCAGTATGAAGGATGATGTTTGAGATTGAGGTTTCAGGTGAGTTGAGGATTGTGACTAGGAGAGGGAGGGTGAGCAGGTATCCAGTTAGGAGTTATTGTGGGCAGGGGGAGGTTTGCAGGCAGCAGGGTGAGAGAGGGTGTTTATTTGTTTATTTGAGGGCCCCCCTACACAAGGCTTCTCAGAAGCCTAGCAGAGGTTTTCACATGTCTTGCAGCACACAAGGTCATCCACTGCACTCAGAGGAATGCCATTTAACTTTGCCTTTCCCTAACCCAGGTGCCACTCCTAATAAAGGCCACAGCCTTGGAATCAGGATGAAGCTGGAGCCTGCAGGAGCCTGGCACACTCAGGAGAGGGCAAGTAGCCGCCTTGGTGGGATTTGTCCCACATAACTCCGGACTCATTCTTTGGTTTTTGTTTTCTTCATTGTAGCTGACCGAGAGGCTGACAGGCCATCACGAGGCCCTCCGAGGCAGACTCATTTCAGGTGCAACGTGGATTCCCATCACTGATCATGCAAAAGATAAGTCAGGGGCCACGGCCGGGAGATGGGATGATGGGAGAGTAGTGGGTTGGGAGTTCTTGGGGCAGATTTAAAGATTAGCAGAGGGAAAAGCAATCTTCTCCAAGGGCCTCTTAGGATGGCTAAAGGGAGAGGCTCTACTTTTGATGGCAGCTTTCAGGTGGGCAGTGCAGAACAGCTCTGGTCTGTGTCTTGTTGTCCGGTGTGCTGTGTTCCCTGGTGTGTCTTTGGGATCCCTTTTGCCTTCTCCCCTCGAGGCCCTCACCACAAGCATGATGTGTCGTGTTTCGTGTCCCCCTGTTTGTCACGTTCTGTGTCACGGGTGTCTGCACTTTTTTGTGCCAGAGCTGTTTTGCCCTGCTGCAATGGGACAGGCCTGGG